TGTCTTGAGGACCTACAGGGCTGAACATTAGACCAACAACTCTAAGAGCTAAGACTGGCAGATGTGTCAGTGACTTGGTATTAGTCAACTGCCATTCATTCAATAAAACATGATTAGAGCATTAACTGGAATACCAAGGTAGATAAATATGTATACAAAGCGTAATCCTGCAATCCAAACAGTAACAAGAAAAGGCATAGGGGAAAGAAAAGCTCAATAATGACAAAACGTTGCCTATCTTTGAGTCCTGCACATTCATCCTCCACAGAATTACCTAATAGTTTTTTAAATGGAACCTGATCTTTCTCACTGCTATGTCTTTGCCCAGGCTTTTTGGTGTGCCTTAAACAACTCCCCTCTGCCTCCCAATTCCCCTCATGGGCTTAGTCCAGCTATAACAGGCTCATTACTTCCAGCAGACCTTCCTTTGCACCTGCAATGTGATTTATACACCTCTCCTAAGAATCCATGATTCTTCTGAGCTTGCTTGAGTCTTAACACCCATCACACTTCCCTGCACTTGTGAGTACACTTCTGAGTCTCCCTGCCAGTCTGTGAGCTACTTGCATCTAATTCATCATTGTACTTCTGATGTCCTCTGCAGTGCCTGAAACAGAGTAGGTATTCAGTTACCACTTAAGCAATTCTGAATTTGATATAATAAGTGTTACAATGAATTACTTACTTAGTGTAAGGCAAACATATAATAAGACACAACCGTCTGGCCAGTGAGTAAGAAGGAAGCTATCAGAAAATACTTAGAAGTGACAGTGATGTTCGAGGAGAATTGTGTGTCTTCATAGCTGTAAACTCTAAAAAGTAAAATTAACTATCATCATGCCCTCAAATAACTACTTTAAGTATTTTCACAACTGATTAATATTGTCTGGCTTCTAGTCTTCTCTCTATTGCAATATCCATTGCACCACCAACACTACACATGCCAACACCATCCAAACAACAGAGACTATCAGAAAAAGAGGGAAGAAGTGGTATTTTTCCCATTTCCTCCCATTTAGATTGTGTAAAGTGCCCAACTCCTAGCCCTTATGTCAAGTTATACAAAAAGAATTATACAAAAAGAATTCAAGCATTTCCCATGACTGAGCCTCAATTCTCTAACAGGAAAGTCTCTACCAGACTTAGACTTCCTATGATTCCAGTCCCTAAGCTCATTAAAACTATCCCTCTGCCTAGATCTCTTAATCTGCTGGATGCCACAGCAGAACAGGATTCACAGAGACACCAAACTGTCTCTTGACTCCATTTCAGTGCCTAGGAAAGCCTTTCAAAAGACAGTTAGATGACATCCTGGATGTTCTCGCATGGAACTAAGTAGAGTGCTATAATCATCACAGCCTAACAAAATCTCAGTTCCAGCCACCACCTAGCAAAGTTGACAATTTCTGAGATGGGCATAAAACATTGTGGCTGCTGGTAAAATCTTCTTATGTGAGAAAAGATCAGGCCAATCTCTAAACAAAGGAGAGGCATCATCCACCTTCTTTGTAACCTTAGTTCAATAAGCTGTGCACTGCCCTGGAACCTCCATTAAAAACACCCAAGAGAGGATGTCTGCCCTTTGCCTTGTGTGCAGGCCTGAGCAAGTTATTGACTTCCCTTAGAATTTCTCTGCAAATACCTTAGAATTATTCCCAAAATGTAGTTGAGACAAACCTAGTGGGTTCGCTTGAATTTTTTAAATAAAAAAGTTGGCATTCTGTGCTATTTGGAAAGCCTAATATCTGTCCATGTATGTTAGCTAAAGGTAAAATACATTTACATATGGTATACAAAATAGTAGGGCTGATAAACAGACTGTAGAGCATGTATGTAATGAATTCTTTTTTAAAAACATGTATTTTTTTTATTTGAAAGATAAAGTAATAGAGAAAGAGAATCTTCCACCAAATGGCTGCATGAGCCAGAACTGGACCAGATCAACACCAGGAGCCAGGAGCTTCTTCCAGTCTCCCATGGGGGTCCAGAGGCCCAAACTCTTGGGCCATTCTCCACTGCTTCCAGTCTCCCAGGGGGGTCCAGAGGCCCAAACTCTTAGGCCATTCTCCACTGCTTTCCCAGGAGCATTAGCAGAGAAATGGATCAGAAGTGGAGCAGCTGGGACTCGAACCAGCATCCACTATGCTAGCACTACAGGCAGTGACTTAATCAGCTACACAACAGCACCAGCCTCTGTAGTGAATTCTTATAATTTTATGTCACCTCATCATTCATTCTGACTATGTTTCATTTTCTCTTATTAGAGGCAGGACTTACCCACCCTGGACACATTTTTTTTTTGTTCTCTGCCTCCTCCCAATTCCTTCTTCAGAAGAACTGATGCAGATTTCGGCCACATAATACCACTTTCTGGTGAACACTTCCATATGGGACACATAGAAACAACTTACTTGCCTTGACCCACTGACTTCCATATTCCTCATGGACTATGTAACCAGACATGCCATAGTGACCACTTCTTGGGTACAGTGTATCTCCATAGGATTTGTGCCTGCTTGCCTTAAACAAATGCACCAATCAGAATTTCTCCTGGGAAACATGCATGGCAGCATCATTGGTCCCAATCAAAGGCTTAGGCCAGTAAGTTCCTTCCTTGCTCACTCTCTCTTGATCATTACCCATTGGGTGAGCAAGTGCATCCCAGCTCCCTCTTCTATTAGATTTGCTAGATATGTTCTTCACCCTGGGAGCTGTAAACACTAAAACTGCTTCTATTAGCTTATGAATTTTGATGGGCTGCCTCCTCTGTATCCCACTTGTTGAACACATTTGACTATAAATTCTGTCCAGGGCAGGGCTCTCCTACAGAGTGTGCAGTCTTGATGGGAAAACCTGGAGGCAAGTCAGACAGGAGTCACAGAAATGTCTTTCAGGATACACAGTTTTGCTGTGAGAGGAGTGGCCAATCACAGGTTGTACACATAGGGGTTAGGTTTTCATGCAGGATTAAGAAGCATCCCATAAAAGACACACTGTAAGCATTCACCAGCACCTCCTCTGGAGCCCCATTAGGACATGGCTACCACTGACAGCTGCTCTCCGGGGAGAGCCCTTAAGACCAAACTAGCCAAAAGTAGTAAGTGTTCTGATCTCTACAGTACTGATAGAAACTCTGCTCTCTCCCACATGTGGTTTCTATGGCCCAGGAAAACCCCCCATTACAACCAGTTACAAGGGGAAGAGTACATGGAAGTGATGCATATCACTTCTGCTCATCTCCCACTGGATAGAACTCAGACATATGGCCACATCCAACTACAATGGAGCCTGGGAAATTTAGTCTATCTGTGTGCTGTAGAAGAGGGTAACATGGACTTCAATAAGCAAATTCAAATACTCCACCTCATCCAGCTATACTCCTCTCTGGGCCTGAGAGTCCTCATGCCCAAAACAGGGGGAAAAACTAATGGATTAAGTGAGCTAATAATATATGTAAAATATAGTGCCTGGCATATTGTAGGTGTTTAATAAGTGTGGTGGTACACATGGTAGATTGCAGTTAATAACTACATTGTAAGAGATTGTTATTTTTAGTAAGGAAAACTGTTCTTACCTGTGCTAGAAAAATTAGCCACCTATTCAATTCACACTCTCCTGGCTCACCTCAGCACTGTCACCTAATAGTCCCTACTCTACCTGCACATAATCTACTTGCGTTGGATAAGAAAACACATGACCAGTCCCTACCCTAAGAGTGCTCCTATTCAACCTTTATATGCAGCCCACACAAACCACTGGTATTGTTCTGCCATTCACTGCACAGGAAACACCAACTATCCTTTGCTGATGACATCATATCCTACCCCCTTTCGGGTGCACAAATTCTCACTGGCTGGAAGGAGGTCTGATTACTCAGCAAGTCCATTTGTTCCTTGATTTAAAATGATCAATAATTTACTCAGATTTCACTGAAATGAGGAATAAAAGCAGATCTCAGAGCTTGAGCACAGGAAATTAGAGGCAGATCTCAGCAGTGGTACTGAGCAGGCAGTCATGTCAGACTTCTTAGAAGCAGAGGGGGTACCTGGTGTGACTGAACTGCATAAGGAAATCGCTGCACTGGATCCAGCTCAGATTCAACTGAAATCAGGAGCCATGCACCTTTTCAGTTCAAGGTCCTTCCTGCAGGTCCATTCTCAACTTTAGGAGCCTCCAATGCCTCATTTCAGGCACACTCTGTCAGTAACTGCTGATAAATACATATCAACAGCCTTTCACCGCATCCAGATCCTCTGACTCAGCAATTCCACCTTTGGTAATTTATCCTGATGAAATAATCCTACCGCTATATTTCAAAAGCTGTACCTATGAGATTTACATTATTAAATAAAAGCTTTCTAAAAAAAAAAGAATAAAGAAAGAATCCTGAATTTGTAAATAGCCTGATATGCAAAGTTTCTCACAACCAATACTATGATAAACAGTGAAAACAACGAATGCAATTGGAATACTATTCCCAGTTCAATAGTAAGGAACTAATCGGAGTATGAAACATCAAGACACAGAAATATGTTACTATTAATTTATGATAAACAGAAATGTGTAGACAATGTTAAGTATGAACAATAAAAAAAGTAATAGCAGTATTAGAATAGCTCTATAAAAAGTTACAGAGCTATGGTTGTATAAGAGGTTAACAATGGAGAAACCTGGGTGAAAAGTACATGGAGTTTCTCTATGCTGTTTTTGAAACATGTTATGGTCAAACTATTTCAGAATAGTTAATTTTTAAAAAGCTGAAACAATTGTGCATGAGAAAGCAGCTTGGAATAGTGACTAATAGCACATTCTTTTAAACAATAATTGTTCAAACATTTTCAATATACCTCTTTAATCAGTTAAGGGCATATTATATCTACTGAGCTTAAAACAAGTCCCTTGCTGTTTCAACGTAAAGACTGAGTGTGAGAATGTGCTACTCTTTTCTGAACTATATCATTTCAGTTGTTAAACTGGAAGAAATTTTCATGTTAAATCTAATGTGCATCAATTAAGGTATATATGGTAACAAACAACAGTAACTGACTCAGTCAAATTGAGGCAAAATGAAAATTTATTGAAAGATAACCAAATTGAAGTAACAGTTAAAATATTCAGGTATTTCAAAAAAAGAGAAAATGGCACAAGCACAGTGGGCAAAGAATCATGGCACTCAATTCAAGTTGCAGACAAAATATAACTCAAGCCAAACCCCTATAGTTTCTGCCCATTTTAACTTAATTTTACAATATATCAGTCCAGATTGGTCTAACATAGATAGATGTTTAGTGGGATGCTCAGTAAATTGAAGTAGCAGTTAAACCAGCCAGGTATTTCAAAAATGGAAGAATTGAAGCAAGTGTATCAGCAGAGAACCATGAACCTCAATTCAACTTGCAGGCAAAACATAACTCAAGGCAAACCCCCATGATCTCTGTCTCTTCTGTTTTAATTTTCTAAGACATCAGTACAGGTTGGTCTGACACAAATATGTGTTTAACTCTGTCAGTCATAGAAGCCATGTAGAGATGTACAGAGCCCCCATGGTTAAATGACTCAATTGCCTCAATTGTCCACACCGAGAGTGGGAAGGCAGGTATTCTTAAAATAAGGGAAAAACACTGGGCAGATGAAAGCAAGAACAACTACAGTCCACCTCTTGGTCCCTGTAAGTTTGTGCACACATGGGCTCAAATTCCTCTCATACACACACCCATGATTAAGGACTGAACACATGATTAATAATTTCAAGATAACCAAATATGTATAAAACAGGTGTTCCTCACACTATCATACAGTTTTAAGTTTCAATAAAAGTTAGAACTTACAAAAAGTATAACTTGAAAGCTGAGCTATTCTAATTTCCCTTCCAATATAAAGCTTTGTGCTAAATTTTAATTTTCTTGTAAATGTCACTCTGTTAGAAGGCAAAGAATAAGAAATAAAATTTAGAATTTTTTGAGAGTGCACAAAGCTAAGTAAGTATAAATGACATGCAAATAGCTAAACGTGCAAATGAAACTCTCTGAAAGTTTTTAGCTCTTATACTTCTAAAGGCATTAAGACTCAAATGGCATTATGGTGTGGGAGACACCTGTATGGACACAGATTTGATTGTCTCAGATGATTTATGACATATCCATCCTTCCTATTATGATTGTAGAAGTGTTTGTTCACCTACAAGTACACAAGCCCAGAGGAGACAAGGAATAGCTTTTAGTTGCTTTTGTTTTCATCTGTGAAGTACCTGATTTCCTTCTTCCAGTAATAATTCTGTCCCCCAGCCAGATAATGTGCAGATCAGGAAGTTAGGGGGACTGTGAGAAAAGGTCCATGCTCATTTATAGAAAACGATGCAAAAACACATATCATATGGCTGTTAAAGAACAGTGAGGGAACAAGTGGGGGTGAGTGAAGGAAAGAAGGGAGATTATAATTTATGCCATTTAAGTTCTTTATTGTTTTACTTTGTGCATCAAGCACATATTCAAAGACTATGTGGGTGAGAGGAGAAGGGGAAGTTATAACGGTGAGTGCAGGGAAGGGTAGCATCCGGTATGAGGCATGAGATTACGAGACAGGTGCTCAAGTGTACAAGAAATGAAAGGCATGATCTTGGGAAGGTGGAGGACTAGTGGAAAGAAAAGCAAGAATACCCTAAGTCTTCTGTCAATTGGGCAACCCCCTTCCTAAATCTGCCAAGTTGTCATCCGTCTTCTGCTCAAGCTGATAGCGCTGCAGATGTAAATTTTCTTCCCATAGTCCCAAAGCATCTCTCTACTACACCGTCCTCTTTTTCGCAAGGCAATCCTAGAGCTGTTTTCAGTGTGCCCTGGCCTCCTGAGCAGATTGGCAGCTGCAGGAAGATGCCTCCTCAGGAGGCAGTGTGTCCGGGGTCCCTTGGGCTCCTCATGACTCTGGATATTTTCTTCAGGGTTAGCACCACAGTTTCACAAAGGGACTTTGGAGCAGCGGCAGAGGATCTGCTACATCTATCTGTAGACCAGCCTTGGCTTGACACCGTGAAGACCATGAGGAGAGATTACAGTGCAGGGGTCATCTTCATTCCAGGCCACTGGGCCTATGTGGCTATGAGTAAACCAAAACAGAAGATAATCAATTTGATGAGGAGCTTTTCTTACTGTACTGACAAGGAGTCAGCCACTCTCAGAATTTCCTATGTGATCTTGTAAACTCAGGACACTTCCCAGATCCCATTCTGTCATTGATTTTCAGAGTATGGACCGTGAGCCATCCATATGGCCTCATTTATTGTGGCATCAATCTAGCTTTGCAAAGTCTTTGCAGTTTTGTCCATGCTTCACTCCTCTCTGCTCACTACTTACAACAAAAAGACTATTTGAGGATTCTGAAGATTCATAAAAGGATTCAAGTGACCTCCAGGAAGCAGTCAGCAATGATGCATGGCAAAAGTGACCTCCTGACCTCTAATTACACTGGATATCTTTGAGTAAAGAGCCTTCACCCCTCATTCCTGGTATATATCATGGAAAATCTCTCCAACAAGACAAAAGGAAAGAGATTCCACATTATGTGGGTCTTGGAGTGGTTGAAGTTTCTCATCCATTTCCTCCCAGGCATAAAAGTCACAAAACAGAGCTCAAGATCTTACATTCAGGGAAAAGACAGGCCCAGAATTAGCCTGCACATCCACCTTTCCTCAGGGACTTAAGCCTCTCTCTCCCTTGTCCTGCTCCTTTAGGAAAGAAGTCAGGCCAAAGACCATGCCTAGATGGGTTGCGAGTCTTATGACACCTGGTTTTTCTGGGACTGGGGAGCCCAATCTGTTCCGCTGAGCTCTAGAACAGTCTTTGCTATGGATAAGACATATTCTCCTTGTGTTGTCATCCATGCAGATGTCTTTCAAAAGGAAAACCTTCACCACAGTGGCTGTGAGCTCTGGAATGCATCACTGGTGAACTTTCCTGTTCCTGACCTCACTTCTAGCTCACAGCAGATTGAACTTGCGGGGAATGGGTCTGATTCTCTCAACTGGAGAGGTGGAGGTGACGTGGATATTGATTGCTAGTGTGTCTGAGGACATATGATCTGCATTGTAGGGTCTGTCTTCTTCTCTGTCTTTCTGAGAGGAGTGGTGGATGCCATCAAAGGGTTCCCTGATCCTCTTGGTCATTGGATGCCAGGTGTGTGCAATCAAGACCAGTCCTCTGGCTGTCTAGAGAGGATGGAGTTGCCTCAGTAGAGTAGGGCTGCTGCTCTTTCTCCTTTTCAGGATCTGGAAATGGTTTGTCTATTTGATTCCAACTTTTCTTCATGCAAAAATATTTTTCTTGAGGCCAACATTATGGCACAGCAGATTAAGCCTCCACCTATAACACTAGCATCGCATTTCAGAACACCAATTCAAATCCCAGTTGCTCTGCTTCTGATACAGCTTCCTGCTAATGTACCTGGAAAGGCAGCAGAGGATGGCCCAAGTACTTGGGCCTCTGACCCAGTGTTGGAGATCCTGATGGCATTCCTTGTTCCTGTGTTAGCTTGTCCCAGCCCCAGTTGTTTTGGCCATTTAGGGAATGACCCAGTGAATGGAAGATCTAGTTCTCTCTGTCTCTGATTTTCTCTGTGTCATGCTGGCTTTCAAATAAATAAATAAATCTTTTTAAAATTTTTTTCTTCCTTTCCACACTACCGAGCAAGTGGTTCAGAAAGTATTGTTCTTTATTCCCATAGTAACTTAAAGGGATGCTATGACAATGTCCAAAGCCCTTGATGCCTTCAAATACCTTGCAGAATAAACCCACCTAGGTGGCATCAAAGTTGACTTTCACGTGGAGCAGGACATCTACAAAAGGAAAAGTCATGGCATCTACATCATCAGTCTTAGAGGACCTGGGAGAAGTTTCTGTTGGTGACTCATGCCATTGTTGACATTCGAACTCCTGCTCATGTCAGTGTCACATCCTCCAGAAACATTGGCCAGAGGACTGTGCTGAAGTTTTCTGCTGCCACCAGAGCTACGAGAATGTTCACTAACCAGATCCATGTCTTCTGGTCTTACTGATCCCAGAGATGTCCACCAGCCTCTCACAGGGGCATCTTACATGAATTTGCCTACCATTGTTCTGTGTAACACAGCCTCTCCTCTGTGCTATGTGGACATTACCATCCCATGCAACAACAAGGGAACTAAGTTGGTCCTGATATCATGGCTGCTAGCCTAGAAAGCTCTGTTCAACCGTGGTAGCATCTTCTGTGAACACACATGGGAGGTCATGCCTGGTCTCTACTTCCATAGAAATCCTGAAGATTGAAAAGGAACAGCAGGTTGCTACTGAAAAAGTTGTGACTGAAGAGGAGTTTCAGGGTCAATGGGCTATGCCAGCTACTGCTACCACTATTCAGCCTGAGGATGCACACTCATCTGAAGGCATGCAGGTGTCTCTTATGCCTACTCAGCAGTTCCCTTCTGAAGACGGTTGCACTTAGCCCACCACTGAAGACTGATCTGCAGCTCCAGACTAATCAGTCCCTGAATTGGTAGGAAAAACCACTGAGTTGTCTTAGGCTGCTCTTCATAATATCTAAAGCAAAATGAAAATAAAGTTATGGAAACTAAGCACAAGTTTCTAAAGAAAAAAAGAAAAAGAAAAAAAAGCTTTTCCTTATTAGACCCAGATGTGATTTACTCAATTTTCTTCTTTCTCTTCCTCTTCATCTGCTCTTCTATGATCTTTGGACTTCATCGAGGCATAAGCAAGATGAAAATTGTAGCAGCTAAAGCCTTCCCTGACCCCATGCTGCACATGCTCCTTCAGGACCTCCAGGCTGGGGAAGACTCGGCAGCAGGCCATGCATTTAAAGCCACCTTCTGGGTATACCAGCCACTCAGATATCTTCTCCCTGGGTCTGTCCTCCAGGGCTGGAGGCTCTGTTTGGTTGTCAACCTCCAAATCCTCCTCTTGGGCTTCTGTGTCCAAGCTGGAATTACTCTCAGTTAGGAGCTCCTCTGTAGGCACAGAAGTGAATTTGATTTCTGAAGGGACCTCCCCAGGAAAGGTCAGTTCTTCTACTTCTGAATTCTCCCTGGACAACACCAATGTTTCCTCCATATGACGTATGACATCCATCAATTCTTCCCTTTGAACACGCATGTAGTAAACTTTCATGATCTGTTCTTTGCTCTTATGTGTCACAAGTGTACAGGGCTCATTGGCTAAATGAACATGAAAACAGAGATGACAGGTGGTAGAAGTATGCGGTTGTTCCTCTTCCTGAGGTAAAAGCATCTCAAAAGGTTGAACACAGTGATCTTCCTGCTGTGTTCGATATATTTCTAGGAAAGAAAAATTCAAGTAAAAAAATATGAATAAGTTTGTGTGGAGACTGTAGGATTTGTGATAGCCCTAAGAGTATCACTATGCATCATATGTGTGGGAGAGAGATGCTTCAGAATTCTTCATGTGTTCTGTGTTGTGTGTGGTGTGTACTTGGGATACTTTGTATGAGGCAATGAGTCCATAGTGGATGGGGTAGAGGGAATATGTGCAGTGCTGCTTATCCAGCAAGGGTTTTTGGTGTTACAATGGAATGATGGTGGGTGTACATGCACATGTGCACATGCCTGTGTTGTGTGGTATAATGGACATGTGCATATAAGTGAGTATAGACATGGTTCATGTTCTTTGCTAGTACGTGAGACAGTAGACATCGAGTGTCACAGGAACTACACATGAGCTCTCAAATCAGACAGCTCTTTGAGGCACTGAAGGTCTTGTGAACACAGAGCTATAAGAGTGAGAAAGGCTGCCTGTGAAACTGAACTCTCTCCAGAACACAGTAGTTTTCTGGAGTTTGGTCTAGCACTAGGGAGTTTAAATATGTGATCTGTGTGAAGCAGTGCAATGTATATATTGTATTAGTAACAGACTAGGTCTGAAAGACTTGTTCTGGGATGAAGGTATAAGAGGAACTTACATAAAGTGACTAGAGAATGGAAAAGAGGCATGGGGAATGAATGGAAGTGTATTTAGAGAATAAGTTAAAGTAAGGAGAAATGGGGCCATTCTTAGTGTGAATGGGTTAGAACAAGTGGGATTGTGTGAGATGAATTTGTGCAAATCTGTGTAGGAAGATTCTGATCAAGTTTCCATAGACGCGTCAGCACTGCCCATGGAAATGCTCATGTGTGGCAACACTGTGCTGAGGGGCTTTTCTTTTTTCTTAAGAACGCAATTTCTACTTGTCCATCACAAGTCCTCATTCTTAATCCCTCTTAACAAAGAAATTTTGTATTATTGAAAGGAAAGTGAGTTAGGTAGGTTTTGGGCTAGGCTGCTCAATTGCACCTCTTTCCAGGTTCAGACACTCCCTTTACATTTGTCTTAACTCTCTTCATAACCAATGGTATTTTCGCTTGGAGAGGAGACATATTCTGAGATGTAAGCATTCTCTCCTGATCCCTGACAGCAGGCTGGGACTACCACATATGGCTCAGCTGCATCCTCTTTGAAAGTCTGGAATTCTAAGTAGGATATTATTAGAAAACAGCATTGAGGTATGGCTGTTCTACATTCTGTGACCATTCTAAAAAGTCCACATGATTGGATACTTTACATTGTTAACACCCATGGGATTTGGTCTCACAAATATTCGTGTGATTTAATCATTTAAAAGTCCATCATATCAGTAAGCAACAGTTGCTAAAATTGTGTGTATGGTAGATGTCCCTAGAATTGAGTATACTGGCTATATTGTTGAGAATATATGCACAATACTGAAAGGGATGAACCAGGCCTAAAATACAATACGTAGTCATTAAAGATTTTATCTTTGTTAGCTCAATTTTCCTCAAATTATGTTTGTGAGAGCTATAGATGGCAGGTTTTACGATAATTATCCATGTTTAATAATGTGTGTGATTGTATTTGAAAGAATAAGTTAAAGGAAGAAGAAACAGGATCAGTATTGATGTGAAGGGGAAGAACATGTGGGTGTGTGTGAGCATGAGTGTGGGCCAATCTGTGTGGGGATGTTCTGATCAAGTTTCCATACACATGGGACATTGCCCATGGCCTCAACCCATTGCTGCCCCAGAGTTCACATGTTCACTGCACTTGGGGGTACATATCCTGGTTTTCCCTCAATCTTAGTCTGTTAGTCTGTCTTCACTGAAGCACTCCCTCATTTTTGAAGGGAAAGTGAAATAAATAGGAGTTGATAGGGGCAGCTCAGCTGCACTTCTTGTCTGAGTTCAGACACATCTTCTGCATTGGGCATATTGTCTTCAACAGTGATGGTGTGCTTACTTTGAAAAGAGACATATTGTGAAATAAAAGAACTCACTTGATGCCTGACCACAGTCTGGGACCACTGTATATGGCTCAGATGAATCTACTTCAGAAGTCTGGAATTCTGGGAAGGAAATCAAAAAACAACAATGATGAGTTATGGCTTCCTTTGTGTTCTGTATCCAGTTCTAGGACATGCTCATTAAATGGATATTTTGCATTGTTATCATCCGTGATACTTATAGAAAATACTTATACTCAGAAAATAAGGCGACTTAATCATTCAAAGTCCACCATATTAGCAAATAACAATTGTTAAAATTGTGTGTATGGTAGATTTCAATAGGATTGGGGAACTTCAATGTGATATTGGAGATATTTACAGAATATTGCAAAGTGTGAACCATGTCTAAAATACAACATGTAGTCATTAACAATTGATATTATCCTTGTTAGCTCAATTTTCCTCAGGAGAAATTGTACACAGACGAGAAATGCAGTGCTTTTTTCATAATAATTATTCATGTTTATTTATCAACATACTCACATATGTGTATATGATAGAGGTAAGAATATATATATAAAGAGAGAGAGGAGACATGTAGCATATTTATAAAGAATAGATATATGATAGATAAATAATCAGACAAAACAGTTTTGAAGATTTTCTAGGAACTGGACATGACACTTTTTCAAATGAAGGACTCACAAAGTTTCCCTGGTCTTCTTTTCTGGAATTTTGCTTCGACATTTTTATTGTATTCTTTTGCCTTCCTTTTTGTATCATTTAGGAGTCTCTTCCAAAGTAGACAGAAAAGTGGCTGTGGTACCTTTCTATACATTTCCATTCTTATCTTCATCTCTCTGTTGCCAGAGCTCTGCAAGACTCAATGCTTCTGAGAACCAATGAGTTCTGTGCTTGATTAGGAGGATCTAGTGGGATCTCTGGCATAGGCTCCAGGCTTCACCTCTTAGCATAAGTCATAGATCCCTTTTTAGGATCTTGCTTACTCTTCACTGGCCTGGTGAGTGATATCATTTTACTCAGTGTCCCTAGCCCAAACAAATCCTTAACTATTTTTCTTACTTGTATTCACCACACTCACAGCCTATCTTAAAATCTTCCCAATAAATAACTACATTTGAGTAGTTTTTCTTTCTTCAATAGTATGTGAATATTTTTTAGAGATTTTATTTATTTATTTGAGAGGCAGGACGACAGAAATTAAGAGACAGAGACAGAGAGAAAGGTCTCCCATCCATTGGTTCACCCCCCAAATGGCCACAACAGCTGGAGCTGAACTAATCCCAAACCAGGAACCAGGATTTTCTTCTGGGTCTCCCACATGGGTGCAGGGGCCCAAGCATTTGGGCAATCTTCCATTGCTTTCCCAGCCCATTAGCAGAGAGCTGGATCAGAGAGGAGTAGTTAAAAATCTTAATTAAATGTGTAACCAAATTTTACTTCTTTCAATGTATTCAATCTTTCTCTTAGTTCACCGTAGGGTGTCTGGTATGTCCTCTTGGTATAGAGATGGCAAAATTCAGTATATTTGGTGCACATTTTACATGCATGTCATGACTGGTAATTACAGTCTGATGTATGTACAATTTGTGTATATTTGTCATATTTTCTTGACAATTTTTTATTGCATGTGAAGGTAGCATGAATGTGACATGTTTGGGTAATACTGAAAAATAGTTTTGTATATTTACAAGCAGTTCATCTTCCATGTATTTCACAATCTACAGGTTAAGTGCTACTGAAGTATAAGCAATTCTATAATAACTATTTGCTTATATGAAGACTATGTGGGTCTTAGTAATTTTTTGAGATCAGCAGACACAAAGTTTTATAGACTGGACTATGAAATATGGAAAAGAGAAAAAGTACGTGAACTCCTAAGTTATGGAATTATAGGAGAGGATTAAGGAATTAAAACTGAGAGGTGAGAATGTAAACTGACACAGCCACTGTAAAAGACAGTATGGAGATACCTCAGAAATCTGAACAAAGACCTAACATATGACCTAGCCATCCCACTCCTGGGAATTTACCCAAAGGGAATGAAATCAGCATATGAAAGAGCTCTCTGTAGTCCCATGTTTGCTGCAACTCAATTCACAATAGCTAAGATAAGGAATCAACCAAGATGTCTGTCAACTGAAGATTGGATAAAGAAATTATAGTATATGTACACCATGGAATTAAATCCCGTCATTTGCAACAAAATGGATGCAATTAGAAAACATTATACTTAGTGAAATAAGCCAACCCCCAAAAGATAAATACCATATGTTCTCCCTGATCTATGTAACTAATAGAGTACCTAAAGGGTAATCTGTAGAAGTAAAATTGACACTTTGAGATGCAATGATTTTGAACAGACCTTGTCTCGACTATTGAGGAACAGTTTTTTTTTTTAATATATATTAGTTGTTGAACGCTTTATTTGATGTAGGGTTAATCTTATGTATATAAAGTTTATTGAAAATAGATCTTTGTAAAAAATAAGAAAAGAAATAGGAGAGGAAAGAGGAAGAAGTGTGGGAGTACAGGCGGGAATGTTCCTAAATTTGCATTTATGAAATGCATGAAGTTTGTATATCTTAAATAAAATATTTCTGGGTGAAAATAGAAAAAGAATTTTGTGATGCAGTGATTCCCCAATATTATATAGGTAGTTCCTAAATGACGTACTCATGATAAGGAGGCAAGAACATGAGAGGCAGAAGAGATGTCAGAGGTGATGCAAGAGTCTGGCATTAAAGAGACGAAAGGACTGCAAACCAAGGAGTAGGAGAAACCACTGAAGGCCAGGAACATCCTGCACCAGGGCATCTGACAGAAACCAGCCCTGCCACTATTGATCTTTAGTCCCATAAGACAGACTTCTGATCCCTCAGGAATGTAAGAGAATAATCACATGTTGTTTCAGACTACTAAATGTGTAGTAATTAGTTGATAGTAAATAAAAATACTAATAAGGCCTTAATACTAATTATGCTTTCTAGAGTTCAGAGTTGCTTTTTGGAGACAAGGGTTTTACCCTACTTTGAGCAACAGCAGGATCTTAGAATATATCAACTTAGAATATATCAACTTAGAATATATCAACTTAAAGGTATCGGACGTGCTATTTTCACCCAATACTTTAATATACTAGTTTTATCACTTTATTTGAATTAGTGGTTGTGATTTTTAATATCCAAATCCCAAAGCCCTTTTTATCTTCAATCACATATCTGCCAGCATCTTAGCTCAAGATTTGTCCCTGATCTTCATTTCCTTTGTGTTCAGTTTAATTTTTCTGCATAGATTCTCTCCACCAGTTGCTTTTTATTTTTACATTTTCTTTCCTATAAATTTCATCTTAGTAATGTCTTTATTTAACCTTTATTCTTGTGTGACTGTGACTACCCCTGCATCTTGAGCAGACCACACAGTCATTAGGTTTCTGATTGCTGTTGAACAGCTTAGTGCCCACGAGTTTGCTCACTCTCCCAGGGCCCTGATCTGCCCAGCTTTGTCTGTCCTGCCTCCCTGCTAGCACAAGTGGACAAGAGCAAAGTGGAGTGGCAGCTACAGTACTCCAGTTCATCAGACAATTCTTTTGCCTCATGGACCAAGGTCTTGGTCTCCAAAGAGTACCCAGGTTGTAGATCCCACTTGTGTAAGTCTGAGATTGATATAAAGTGGAACAAAGGTCACTGATACACATTTGGTGTTTAATTCCTTTATTTCTTCAACCCATGCATATTCTGAATGTCATGGGTGGAGTTCTGAAAACAGACATGGCCCACCAGATCATAAAGTCTATATCCTACTGAAAACCCGAGAACACATGTACTCAGAAACGTTTGTCTTATCACTGGGCATTGGAGTTTGGATTAGACATTATGCATTTGGATTATATTGCCTGCCATCTACTAAGGCTGCATTCCTGATGCTGTCAGAATTTATGTGGAACAGAACTGCTGACTTCCATTGTTTTGCCCAACTTTTTCTGAAAGCTATTCACATGGAGCCTTGATGCTCTCACACTCCAGCCCTTTGTTTCCAGCGCCCAACTCCATACACTCCCATGTATGTCACTGAGGAAGCTGTAGAGGTCCATGTGGGGGCAATAGCTTTCAGTGGAAACAGCTGCTCCCTCACTGCTAACTCTTTCCAGAGCCCACACCACCCCTCTCGACCCCAGAAGACATTTTGTCCTGCATGTGCTCTCTGGCATGGGCAGGAAGCAGGAGTATTTCAATTTTCTATGCTTTTACCTGGATCCCACTCTCAATGCTCCTAACACTCACCCACCTTAGCTAAGATTTTTGCCTTTAAGTACATTTCTCACACTTCTACCTTCAGCATCTCACATCTCAAACAATTGATAAATTTTATTTTTAAAGGCAGTAAATATTCATCATTTTATCTTGTCACTCTTTTTGTTAAATAGTAACCCAGCTTACCACTGAGAATTTAACTGTTAGGATTATCAGGATTTCTAATGCATTTGTCCTGTGTGTGTGTTATGCACACTTTGCAGTGAAATGGTGTGTGGCAAGTGCCGTGTCCATGGTGTGTAGTTATAAATTCATCACATGCTGATTCAAATTGGACAAAAGTTTAATTTGTAATTGATTTTGTTTTCACAAATGTGAAAGTGGAATGACTTTTACTTGGGTAGGATTAGAATGTGAGATTTATGTCTTTGTGTTTGTTTGGCACATATATATGATTATCAATTGCAGGTCCTGTGATTATGGATTTTTACATGTTGTTTATTGTTATGTGTTTTAACTGCATAGTGTAATTAATGGGAGTATTTTCTTTGACACTAAAGAAATTAGTGTATTTGGGTTTTGTTTTTTTTTTGTTTTTTGTTTTTTGTTTTTTGTTTTGACAGGCAGAGTGGACAGTGAGAGAGAGAGAGACAGAGAGAAAGGTCTTCCTTTTGCCATTGGTTCACCTCCAATGGCCGCCACGGCCGGCGTGCTGCACGCTGATCCGAAGCCAGGAGCCAGGTGCTTCTCCTGGTCTCCCATGCAGGTGCAGGGCCCAAGCACTTGGGCCATCCTCCACTGCACTCCCGGGCCACAGCAGAGAGCTGGCCTGGAAGAGGGGCAACC